TAGTACTATATGAAAGTCAACAATTTCTGATACAAAATATCTCAACCACCAAAGGATTATGGAGGCTGAGATGAAGAATACAGATTATATAGATAATAGATGCTATTAGCAGTATCTTTCCGTCTTTTTAGCTACTATAATAGTATGTGTAATGTCCAGAAGCTTCTGTAAGAATTCTAATAAATACTTTAGTATCTAGCATATCCGTATGCTACGTTAAAAATTAGTAACTATTATACTGACTGAGACATCTCAGTCAGAAAAATGTCTTTTGTATGGTGCAACATGGGTGGCCGAGCCGGGCGAGTGGCCAGTCCGTTCTTCAACTACGTTATCATTTTTAAAGAACCATGAAGGGAGGAAACTCGAGAGGCGGTATTACCATGGATGATGGTCCTTACGAAGAGATGTTTAAATAAGTGTTCTGGCTGTATTAGAATCGGCCACCTTTCTTTTCACCACACACTGGCTATCTAGAGACTCCACCCCACCACCTAGTTGTCCGAAGCAGCTGGAAATAACTTTTATATAGTGAGGATGTCGTAAAATCGAATCAGCCCTTTTGATGTTCACCCCAGGCGGAATCCGGCACCCGTCAGAGCCATGTAGGTCGCCGTGCACACCGTGCGACCCCCCTGGGAATGTGACCGATACTATAACACATGGTTAAGACACTGAGAAAGCGGCATAGAGATATTGCTACCGCAAGACCTCGCCGGCACAGCGGTGTTGGAGACAAGTCTTACCGCCACATTCTTGACTCGAATCCCAAACTTCACTATGGAACGGTAGCCCTACTATGCTGTGGGCGGATCCCTCATTTTCTTAACGCCACTCGGCGAATAACGTCGCGATAAGTGTGATTTCCCTATAGAAGTATCCATTGTGTTTGCCGAGGATTAAGAATGCCAGAATGATGCCAGTGCCGGAGTTTGAAGGTCATATTGACAGAATCACGCAACAAAGTCAATCTCAGTCCGTTCTTGCAAACGGCTTCTTTTACGAAAACATGTCAATCCCGCCTCGCCGGCTATCGGGGTGAGTGTAACGTCTGTGGGATGAAAATGCTCAAGGAGAAAGTCATTCTTCTAGACCATGCAAACATGTGCTAGAGAATCGTTGTACGAGGGTTCACTCACGAACAATATGACCATACCAGCACGTTATATTTATGTTATTGTAGGAATTGATATCCTGCATTCTCAGGTTTGGATTATTCTCTGCTTTTACGTATAGAGCAAGCCGTCTTTGTCCGTTAGTGTGTTCATAGACAAACGCATTGGTTCATAAGCTACGTCAGCTAAATCAGAATAGTGTCGTAATCAACAAAAGATAATTCTGCTTGCGTCGAACCTTCTTGCCACTCCGAAGGTCAAATTCTCGTCTACTTCAACTAAGCTTCGCACGTCAATTTGGGGTGAAGAAACCTTCACTACATAGGTAGTGCCAAAGAGATTGTGCTTTCTCAGCAGTTCACATAATAGCTATTTTGGTGAGGATAATCTAAGAATGATAACCATATTAGTGCGAGAGCCGTAGTACGGATAGCAATGGATAGTATGTTCTCTTCAGCATCTGCAGAGTAACCTAATGCGAACTAGAATGCTATGGCTTTTGCCGGAATTCCATATTGCTTTCCGAGTCTTCATCCACTGTGAGGCTGAATACCGCCCGTCGGGTGTTACTGGGGAGCGCATTGAGAAAATAGCCGCCTTTCGCCAGAACTGAATATTCCGACTTGCTGAGGACGGAAAGAGGCTATACAAATGTCCAAGCGGCGTCACTTTGTCATAAGGAAGTTCAGGACTCTCTGCGCTGCATCAGCATGCTCAAAAGGCCCCACCCAATATGCTCCTCTCTTGTAAGTGGGCACGGCTGCCTGGGCTCCAATGTGTGGAAAACGCGTACAGTGCCTGGTCTAGTATTCAGGGCCAACGTGACGAGGACATCAATCTGATGGCCTGTGAATGTCGTATTGTTGCTAGGAAAAATGAGTAGGCTGAAGATTGCGTGTGCTTAGTAGGCTCACATGGTTTTCATGAGGCGATCGTCCCCGATCAACAGGATGCCAACTTCCACTGTCCCTGCAAGCATCCACCACCACTTCCCGCGTTTCATATAATTCTCTGATATCTTATCACGACGGGCTTTTGGTGGCTTGGATGTTCGAGGATCATCACAGTATGCATCCAGGATACAGTTGAGGACATAGGACCTGGGTGGTTTCTGTATGGGGCCAGGAGAGTATTTTCGGCATGCTCACAGAGTTCCTTGCAGTTGAAGTAGAGTAAGACCATTCCAATACGCTTTGCAACGGGATCAAGGAACCGATCTCTCTCGTCCGTGTCGAGAACTCGAAGGTAGTTCAGTATTCCTTGCAGACCTTGCCAGACGACGGGTAGTCCAAGTGTGTGCAGGCCCACACATCCAAGAGGGGCCGAAGTAGTTCATAAGCTGTCTGTGGGGATAAGATACCTTCTCGCTTTCAAGATCTTCTGAACATCTTCCTTGGGTGTTTCCTTTCCACAATCTACACAGGATTTCAGTAAGTGGATAATTGATGGATTGGGTTTCATTAGTCCCGTCGTTGCGCGTGGTTGGTTCCGTATAGCGCGTCCAAAATCTGCGAATCTCTCCCCAGGGGAAGAGCCACCATCCATAGTGGGAGGTGTCGAATGGCAGGAAGCTTTTCCATAGATCCCAGCTGTGGAAACAGTCTCTGCGGGCGCAGCAATTCCAGGGCTTAGATGGGAGGTGAGAGGAGTTCTACTTGGCGGAGTGAAAAGTGCGCTTTCAACAGGTGTCATATCCACGTCCAAGCGTTGCCCCGTTCGGCTGCCTGGGCAATGACCGTGGCTGTGTTCATTGCGCATCCATGGAATAGGGGCGACGTACAGTAGGATGCTATCTGCAGGGCACAATGGCTTGGGTCCACTCATCGGTAGGTACGGGACAAACGGAGGGGTTGGAGTGAGCTGAGTGGCGACCATGGTACTATTCCCTTGGGACAAGATAATAGTTAACCTGGTCTGATCAGGAGTGCTACTGTAGGAAAATAACAGGATGGACACGTTTCCTACCTGGAAGCACTGAAGGCTCGTCCTGGTGGGCCTCTCGCATTTCAGACCGATCCACAAATCCGGCGTTTTCAAGCCTATGGCAGACATTGGCTACCTGAAAGGTGTTCAAGAAACTAGCCCGGTGTATGGGAGATATGATTTTCTGCTCGGTACTCAAAATGTGCCCTGATAAATCCTCCTTGTTGAGCCCACATCAGGACTTCCGCTTTCTGCATACTAACAAGTTGTCCGATCCGCTGCAATACTTTACCAAGACGGTTGACCAGCTACAATACGGAAGTGAGAAAGATGAAGACAGTCCCTTGCAGACCACTCACGTCGGGACACGCTTCCTCGTTCCAATCTGGATTATTATTGTGGGCGTTTTTTCCAGACGTGACTTGATGGAATTGGTTCAACACGATTCTCACTTACCTGGATTCCGACCATAACAGCGAACATGTTGGCAGGACCAGCCTGTCAGATCGGCTAACGACAATGTATTGCTCGGTGCGCCTGTTGATTTGTTGTGTCTCGTAGAATCACCCAAAGCCGATTGTGTCTGACACTTTGGAGTGGCTGGTTTTGGTCATTATGGGTATATCACGATTTATATATATAGTTGACCCCTCACGTACAGAAACTGTTGATATACACAACCATGAACCCGCGCGATAAAGCTCGCTTCCTTGGTAATTTGGGTAACATAATATCCTGAAGCCAGTATAACCATGTGTGGATCTCGTTACTTGACGCCCTAAGCCCAAAGGTTGAAAACCGAGGACATAATATTCCTTCGGTGCGCATTCGGAATCCTCAGGCGGGCATCAAGTGGAACCCCTGAAATAACTCCGAAAAGGACTAGATCCGGGCCTTGCCGAGCCGGCCCCAGCAAATGTTGCTGACCCAAGGCCACAACGATCAACTAGACTGGAGGGGCCGACTAGAGGGAGATCAAATGACGCGCGCCCGCCGGGCAATCTCACATTTTCAAATGCCCGCACAGATCGCCCAGAGAAGACGGTATCGCAAATTACTTGACCGTGCTTACCCGGTGATTTTTTCATCATGTTTTACCGGTAGTCTCTCGCTATCCTTTACAGTAACCCTATATTCACCATTCGGTGCCTCTATACCTCATCTCCCTTCCTGTTCCCTTTTTTTACCCCCTCTTTTTTCACCCGTCCCAATGCCCTACCCCTGGTCGGCAGTTTACCCAGCCCCCCACTGGATCTCCCATCGACCGCGATCAGGGACCTCAGAAGGCGATCATCACATGCTTAAAGACGCATGTCACATCCGGCCTGGTCAATTCCTCAGCATAGAGCCGAATCGGGCTGCGCCAAAGTCAAAGCAGGATTGGGAAACCGGGTTTTGATGCGCGGCGAGAAGCCGTCCGAATGACGGGCATTTTGTGTGTAATAGATTGACCAGCGAGCACCAGCTGGCATCAGCAAGCGCAAGCAGGGATTTCTGCGTCAGCCGAATACAACTCAACCCTACTTACACTAGTTACAACAAAACTCACCACGAGAGCTAGATCGGTAGTCTTGTCGGATGATTTGCCTCGTTTGCGAGCTACCGGGCTCCCGGGTTCCCATATTCCTGAGTTGCCCAGGTCTTGCTGGGCTGCCTCATTATTCAGGCACAGAATATACTTCCAAAAATTATAGACACCTTCTGTATATTAAATATATCGAATATATTAGAATATTGGTAAAACATGTATTATAGATTACCAGCTATTGTAAGCAGCGATAAATCTATGAAGAAAAATTTTGAAATCAATCGTATTATGTTTGTAATCTATAAATTCATAATGAAGTCTTAAACTTTTCTAGTGGTTGAGATGTTCTAGTTAAAAAAGAGTGCCTTTTGTATGGCATTATTGGATGGGCCGCTCGACCGTGAGGGCCGCGCGATCGTGGTCTTCACCGCCACCCCGTCAGCCCACATGTGACCGACTCTATGGATGCCCTGGATTACTGTGATTAACTACCACCACACACGAGATGCAAAGCATGCGATACAAGGAATTATAGAGAGGTTAGTGCAAATTCCGGACATACCTTGGCTACTTGAAGCGCGTTTATTTTATCTAACGGTGGCCCAGTTTGCAGGGCGGCAACGTCACTACGCACTCATGGAGTATGAACCCATTATCTTCAGTCAACATAATTATCGTGACAATTCAGATCCTGCATCTCGTGTACGGTAGAATAGATAGAAAATACAACTGCAACTCATTGATCGCAGAGCGCAACGCTTCTTTTCCTCGAACCTCTGTCCCGCCTTTTATATTACTGTGGGTCCTCCGATGGAGGTTCTGAGAGGTCGGTGAGCCTATGGGAGTAGATCTCCTGGCTTAAAGGCTACTCAGAATGCTAGACCTCGCCATATTGCTTTTTTGGGTACCCTTGGGTTTACCCGGAAACCCGCCAAGAACCAATAACCTCATATATTACAGAAATACAAACGAAATATTGGATCTGTCATAGGAATATATATGTAATTTGCGTATATATTACCGTCATTATTTCTCTTGGCGGGTTTTGGGTTGGGCCCAACCCGCGATTTGGCGAGGTCAACAGAATGCTCATGATCTCTGAATAGAGAGACCCACATCATCCGGTCAAAATCCCTTCCTCGTTTTGGCAGGTTGCTTTAAAAGTGCGTGCTTACGGGCTGATCTTAACCTCCGCCTGTTGGAGCGATCGACTCGTCTCTACTAGTAAGAAAAGATGAACCGGTCCCGAAAATTTAAATTCGTCCTTGCCTGCAGACGACACTTCATGAGAAGTCTAAATTGGCCCTGTAGTTGCATTGAGTCAGACAAAGCTTGAGTGCGGTTGTGAAAGTCCAGTACATCGCTCTGATGGCGCCCAGACATGCAAAGACAGTCAGCCCGGTAGAATTCGGGTTGTCTGATGGGTTGTAAGAGCCAGACACATCGATCCCGAAATGATATGGGGTCACTTTGGTTGGAAAGCTGACAAGCATTAGACTGACGGCTGCACCTAGTAAGGCCAGATAACGCTGGCGATCCTCGGTTCTCTTCGACTCTACGGTTAAATCATATCGGACCCCTGGATTGTCAGAGACCACTGCAAATGATTGATACAACAACCGAAAACCCCCCCCGTCTACCTTTAACTCTCGTGGGAGGGAGCATCTCTGAGTCTGAACCCTTCAATCCCTGTTCGATAGGAGAAAGTACCGATGAACAGGTTTCGCACTATTGGATTGCTCTAACAGGGGTTCTTACGCCTAGTGCGACGAACCGCATCTCCGGGTCAACGACCGTGTGGCAACATGTTTTCCCCAGCCGTTCATCATTCCGTCTTTTCAGTGACTGCTTCTTCCTATTTGAGCTTCGAGACATCTGGTACTGAAACCTGCTCCTTGAAGCCAGACTTTGGCAATTCATGGGACAATGCAGGCTGAACTGAAGCAAAAAATCGAGGAGAAAACGGTCAGCTACAGCTACACTGGATGTTTTGAATATCACTAATTTAATCGCAGCGGGTTTTCAACCGAGCTCTGGATGAACTGCATAACGACCAGGGAAGTCGGGAAAGTGTGACCGAGTCTGTGGTAACAGATGTTCTTCATAATATTAGATCAATTCCCAGACTAAACGTTCTCTAGCTCGAGTTGATTAACGTGGTTTGGCCGATATCAGCACAAGAAGGGCATGATTTGACCAGCCTTCGCCAAGTTATCCATTATGTCTCGAACCTACTTCGCCCCGCTGACGAGGACGAGTTGCTGCCATCCCGCTCGAACCCCTCGCTGACGTGCAATAGCGTTGATATGCTGTCGCCCGCTCACTTGTCATATGTGGAGAGAGATGGCGCGGAGCACACGACCGCACGCGGAAAGAGCCCTCTAGATCAAGTGGATGGTCTTCAGACGGGCCAAGTGGAGACAGATCTCCTGAACATGGCTATTTCATCTAGCGACCTTGCGGCCATCTTCCCAGAAGACTTCTATGAACATATGCTTAATGAAAATCTAAACTTGGCGTCTCAAAACTCTCAACCTCAGGGCTTTGGGACATTGATGGCAATGGCTGACAATATGGAAGACTCGGGCCTCGATTCACTTATGCCAGGGGATGATCTTTCGTTGCTTTCACAGCTGACTCCTCCGTTGGATATCAGTATGAGCATAGGCTTACAACCATATACGTCCGAGTTCTGGGAGGCATGGTTGGCTGAGTTACTTTCAATGGCCTGTCCTGACTCGCCCGCAGGTCTGGGGGCTTCCAATGCAGACCTGAGCAATGAGTTTTCCCAAAGCTTGAATGGGCTGGTGCCTGTCACACCTGACCTGTATGATCATCTTGATGAGAGCGAGGTCTCCCCAGGACTATCTGCTTCCAGTGCCCCAACGTCAACCAGGATTGCGACCAATGTGGACGACATTGCCACTGGCCTAGAGAACAAGGATTCGGAGCCTGAGTTGCTTGAGCAGATAGCCAGATTGGATAGCTTTCCAACCGCATAGGCTACGTTCAAGGGTGATTACGTCATCGCTCTACTCCGAGAGTTGATAGGCGCTGACCAGCCGATCGGGGAGGCGACAGTGCAGTACGTTGCATGCAGGTTGACGGTGATACAAAGACACTCCTGAAACTTAGATAGAGAGATGCGCGGAGCTTAGAGGACTGAGTGCCTACACCGCTCCCGCTTATTGATAATGGTTGACGAATCCAATAATTACTCGTTTGTGGAAATCCAACCCCAAGGAGACCGTATGATTCCTTACGAGCGCAGAAGCACTGCGCTCCCGGAATACTACAAGGCCTGCGCTAGTTGCCGCAGGATTGGGGAATACGTCACTCGACTACTGTACCAAGGAAGGAGGATAGCACCGCAGTGGGATATCCCGATCAAGGCATATCGAGAGGAGCCATCGATGGGTCCGGGTACGTTGGATTACCTGCTGGTTACTGGTTGAGCCTTGCCCGTGATAGTCTGCACGATCCAAGAGTCGCGGGAAGCAGCAATTGCTTGCTTTGTCTTAGCTGTTCGGTTGGTATATCGTTTGGGATTGGAACTGTCTAATCAGGTCTACTCGGGTGTTGAAGACATGGCTGATGAACAGATGATGAGGCTCAATTGGACATCCGTGCCACCTTAGATTTGAAAAAAAGGGCCATCATGTAGCGCGATATGCCTCAGGGTTCAGGCAGGCCACAGATTCAACTATTCTGGACAAGGACAACAATAGGAGAAGAACGACAGGCTAGCTACGATAAACAACTCTGAAAGAGCAAACAGTCAATGAAGCGACTAGCCTACGGCGCGAAAAGAAAGGGGGGCAGGGAGAGATAGAAAGAAAGTAAAACAAAACAGCTCTGCCTAAAAAGCACAGAAGGCTATACAGCAAGACAAGGAAAATCGAGCAGATCTAGAGACTCCACTGGCTCAGCCCCAGCCTTGCGAGACCCTTCCGTAGGAACCACCATGCTGCAGTACTGGGTCCAAAATTGGATACAGACACGCAAAGTGCTCCACATAACTTAGTGTTGAGAATCATAGGCGTTATTATGACGTTGCGTGGCATAAAGGCCTCCCATTCCCACCCTATCTGGTAACCCTAAAGGAGGCGGGGAGACGGCCAGCGCGACTATGGTGACTGCATGGGATAGTGTTGTATCGGGGAAAACAAAGATTTCACGCCATGCATTCTTCCCACGGCACTGAGCTGAAAATGGGTTTGAGAAGATAAACGGTAAATGGACTGGTCCCCACGCACGAACTTGTGCGTCGCAAGGCAGCGCTAACTGCGATCCAGCTCCCATGTCACACAAGGATATGCCGATCACCCTGTGACGGAATAGCCTAAACACACGCTGGAGCTTCGATGGGCACAGAGTACAGCATTGGTTGGGGATATTCAGCAGGGGGTGACAGACACCTCGCGTCTCACTCGCGGACGTGGAGACCCACTTCACCCAACCCAGAGAAGTATCTCTGGTCAACTGCACAGCTGATTTCCCCAACCGCCAACGCCGCAGACGGTCGGGTGTGCTCTAGTGTGGAAGTTCTCTTTGACAACTGATCCCTTTCTCTCGGGATCAACAGAGCAGATTGCTCTCGCTCTCCAGCAGCTGGTACATTAGCGCGGTACAAAACAGTGATTTCCGGGCAATGTAACGCAGGACTGTCCCATTGCTATCCTCCCCGCTTGGGATGACCGATGTTCCACTATATTCTCGAAGAACAGATCTGACCGACGAGCTTTGTCATGAGGGTCGAATACCTCTACTGCGATGCAGCTCACTCTTAGTGCAGGCACATATTCTTTTTCTTGACTCCTCATGTGTTCTTCCAGCTTATCATAGCTCTCCGTCAGCTCAAAATTTCGTATGACATTGCACGGTAGCGTTTTATAGATAGAATTTACCCAACTTTAGTCTCAAGCCTGGATAATACGGCTCAACACCTCTCTAAGGGCAATGGCAGCTGTGTTTGGAATGCTATGGGACGGGACTTATTCGCTGGTCAATGGCCTGGGACTGCTTTCACACGAGCTCCAAATGGGCGCTAACTTCGAGACCATGGTTCCAAGCATGGACCGACCAGGAGCTGAGTGTGACCTTGACGGTCCTGTGGCAGTATAAAGTAATCGACCTTGAAAGTTGTCAAACTAAGTGCGATCAGTTTAAGTAGCCTGTACGCGGCCCGTAACTATTGGGGCTGAAATCCCTGGCTTGCGTTTCCCAGCTATCAGAAGACGGAAAATTCGTCGATGGATACGATAAAGAAACCCTTGGCGCAAGCAGGTGAAACAGTAAAATGATACAGGCTACCTAGAATCTGACCCTCACCCTCTTACGGCATCCTAAAGAAGAGCCCAGTGATACCCGCGCTGGAACCCGCAAGAGATGTTCTCAACCGAATACATTGGATTCAGAATTGTTCTGATATCGATTGGTTTGTTCCGACTCTCAACCGGCGTAGAGCATTGAACTCACTCTCGTCTCTTGGCCTTATGTTCATCCGAAAACATTGATTTGCTTGATCGAAGTAAAGACATTCACTTCCCGGATCTGCGGGCGGCATTGTTTGAGGTCGCCGCAGGTGTACTCCACGTGCGGAAAGAGAGGGGAGACGGCGACTCAGCCAGAGGTGTAATTATGGATGACCGTAAAATGCATTCCTTATCAACCGTGGGGCCTGAGAGCATGATAGAGGCATACGTGGAGGTGTCTTCGGATTGCATAAGGGGAAATAGGATGCCGGGCCGGTTCCAGGTCTGGAACTCGGGAATCCCATATAAAGAAGGTAACAGTGAACCGCGAGAGTTCTTCTCGGGGTAATGTCTCGTCGCTGCACTGCAGGTTAGTCATTCTCATGTCAGACAAGTCCTTGTCTTTGAATCGAGTTACCGATCCCCGGAGCAAGCAGGTGGGCAAATTGAAGACCTCTAAAAATCGGCTAGAGATTGCCCTTGAGCAAAAATTATGCTGTGGTCCTCTCCGGTTTCCCTTCGCGAGGAAATTCCAGGTCGACCTCCTGCCGATATGGCAACAACTTTAGTCATTCTGGTCGACAGCACTGTATTCCGTATACGTCCGAGTGATGTCAAACTCCTGGCCCTGTTCGATACTGTCAAAGGCACAATCATCAATGCAAGGGACCTTGGTTGATTGAGAGGGTGCTGGCCCGTCAGGGTCACGTTGGTTCCGGACCGCGCCTTCAACTAAAGGCCAGTTCTGCTCATTGCGGCAATATGAACTGGCTGCATGGAGTCTGGTTAGCAATTAGACCCCAAATAAGGAAAACATCAAAAGTTCTGTAGTCCTGTTGACATTTGACCGCTCTGGGCGAGGAACTAGCCCAGGGCATTTTGACCCGCAGCAAAGCAGGTTGTCGCAGACCTTAACCATTACTGTGTTTCACGTTGTCTTGCAACGAACGTGCACGGTTCTTCTTAGATTTCTGAAGGATCACGCCGCTCGGAAAGCGGTTGTATCAATTGATGCTGCCCATTCAACAGTTTTTGCTTGTGTGGTTCGGTTATTCCCAAGTAGTCTCCGCTGAACTACTAAGACGTAAACCTTTATTTGTCCTAAGCTTCGTCTGTTATGTACTTGTGTGTGTACGCCCATTGGCCAGCCGCACGGTCCCACGGCTCGCGCGCACCATGCCTCTCCCTATGCCCACGCATATGGTTTCGTCCCAGTCAGCCCATTTCTGATTGACGGCCTCAAATTAACGAGCATGTGCCTGGACATGCTGGGTCAATCCGGAAAGGAGATGGGGAATTTGCCCTTCTTATAACGGTCATCATGTGCACCTGAGCATTTTGTTGGACAAATCGCACTCAAGGATGGCTGGATACAGTACCGTGCGCGGCACTTGATGACAGTTCAAACTTTCTCGATAGGAGATCTCTCAACCATGAGGTAACCAAGCGTTCTAGATAGACGAAACGGGTATTCGCGTGACCGGTAGGTCTGAAGTGGGCATTGGCAAGACACGAGATTCCCCACCGGTGGTCGCTGGTGCTTAGAGGTCAATTTGTGACACAGAATGCCCGATCAGGTCGGGAGATTCTCAGTGCACGTCAAAACTTGAATCTCCAGTTCTGCTTTTTATCTAACTAGCAGCATAGTTCAATTCCACATGAAAGAGGTTTCGACCAAGCTGGACGCGATTTTGCGCTTTTCAATTCATGTCCGTGGCCGATTAAGCTGTCTGATCGAGATCTGAAATAGGACCTGGTGGGGGAGCTGGATGACCTGCATGCCAGGAGTAGGACAATGTGGCGGATGAGAAAAAGGTTGAAGGGAAAGAGTAAGGATAAGTCAAAAGATGGTGGTAATATGGGAAGAATGAGGGAGCGTTCACCGAGGAGACGTGGTCAAGTTGCCATACTGTATTTTCTAAGAGCAATTACGTGCCTTGACAATCTGTAGGGCCTCTGTTCAGTATTTGTCCAGGCGCGCATGTATTTCCGCCAGCCTGTTGCTGGCTGTGACTCCGACCAATTCTCCCTTCAGCACGCCGCTCTACGGCACACTTGTACCTTCCACACTCCTCTTCTGTTAGCTCTGGTACCTTTCATGAATGCCAAAAGTCACAACCAGGCCGCGGGCGAGGATTCGCGCAACCACCCGGAAGACCGAGAGTCACAGTGGTGTTTCCGACACAGGATCCATCCAAACAAAGGAGCCCGTCGCGCGGCCTCCCCAGCAGCCTCTGCGCTCCCTTAGACGTCCATACATGGTAAGCCGTCATGTACGGTTGCCGGGGCCTGTTTTTTTTAGCTGACTTCACTCGCCCATTAGCGGCCACAGATATCCGGTTCTGGTTCGCGAGACGTTCCTTCTGCCAGCTCATCGGAGAACCACGGGGCCTGTTTGGCTACGGTCGAAACGTTGGAGCGGGAAAATGAAGCATTGAGAAGGGACAAGAAGACACTGTCGGAGCGCCTTGAAAGCGCTGAAAGTGGCATGCAGGAATTGATGAACAACCAGCATCGGTGCAGACAAGGGTTCTCTGAGCGGCAGGCGACTCAACAACTGGTGGATGAAATGCAGCATACCGTTGCAGGTTGGCACCAGCGGCTTCGGAGCCCGGCTGGTTTACCAGAACGTGTGGATCCAGCCGCCTGGACTACTGGCCTACCGGCAACGACAGCGGTACCGGACATGTGGCCTACTCAGGAGGATGAAAGGGGTGCATTTGGCGATGATCATGATGTGGTACCCGACTCTGGTCACTTCGCGCAGCTTTTCCAGTTGTAGTTGCTCTGCCATAGTAATTGATTATCTTCTGAGATGCGCACAAGTATACCGATCGACAACCATAGTACATACAGACTTTGTCACGCAGTGCACATTCTGGTCTCGCTAAAGCTGACTAAGGGCACTTTTGACACGGAGAATTGCCTCTGCATTGGCAGAAGGACAGGGTGATGCTGGATCGAGAGCGGCACTCTCGAACCTCGCATAGATGAGCAATTAGTTGTGAAACTCTCGACGGAGCCATTCCGTTGTCAGCAATCTGGAGGAAGAAAACAACTATTGATGTAGCGTCCAGCATCTGCAGTCATGGACTTGAGATCTCTCCTGTTCCTTCTCTCTCGACCCCCGCGAGGAGAGACCAACTAAACCTTCTGCAAGACATCAGCTACTGGAGATCATATTGATCGGCCATCAGATTGCGCTAGCTTGGCGGAGAACCATGGCCCTGGGGACGACCCACGTGCGGCTTCAGAATGTCAAGAACAAAAACAGGGGGATAAAGGAAAGGAAAACCCATATTCGCTGCAAGACACCTTGGAAGAGAGTTAGCGACAGTGAAAACCGCCAAGAAGACGAGAACTGGTTCTTCTGCACATGCCTCAAAATCTTCAACAATCTTCCTGCCGTGTCGGTCGACGTGTCCGATGATCTAAACACGCAGCACGAATTCGAGCCCGAAATCAGCCCAATGGGAAGCTGATGCATCGCCCTGGGAGTACACAAGCCGCAGGAGGGCCTGCCTGGCTCATGAAGGGAAGCTCGAGCCAGTGAAGATTGGGACTATCGCATGCACCTTCCGGGCATGTGTCCCATTATCATAGTGGATCCATGAGGTTCCAAGTTGCACCGTTTCTACGTGACTATTTCCATTCGCACGTTCATTGTGTCTTGCCAATAAAGCTAGACCTTCGTTGAGAATGTGTTTGGTGGACGTGGTATTACTTGCTCACGGGAGCAGGCTAGTGGAGCTGCGCGAGACCACAGAGGAAAAAAGAAGTTATATTATTGCAGCTGTATAACCGGACTTTATATCATCAAGTTCCAAAAGTGTGGCCTTTCTTGTATATCACAAATGGTACGGATAGAGCGGGGCCGTTCCCCCACTGGCCTGCACGCCCAATCCCTCCAGGTGAAAGTTCCATATATTATAATCGATGAGGTAACGCACATCGCCATCGTAGCAGCGGGAGTCGATGACTGTGTCCGTCAGGTAGTATTAGCTCTCCAAGATAAATACCTGCTCAATCGGAACAGCTTCTGAAGCAGCCATACGCGGGCTGTTGGGTGGCGTCTTCGGGTGGAAGTCGGCAAGTAAATTCTCGGAGTCTGCTTCTAGCTATTAGTGAATGATGTTCTGGATGTTGTCTCTCGCGCATACCCATGTTTCTGAAAGCAGCGTGGGGTCCTAACATAAGCAAATGCGCACGTGCCTTGAGTTCCCCTTCGCATGCATGAGTCATGACCATAGAGCCACACTTGGCTTGGAGAGTGCTTGCCAGTTGATGTGGATCCAGAAGGAACGAGGGGCTGCCGATTGAAAGTGCGCTTTTGACAGCCGTCTGACAACAGGTTCCTTTGGGCACACTGCTTGAAAGTTTCTCGCATGTTGTATTGTTCTCACCCATTGTCGAAACGAGTTGGAAGAAATCGCCAGCAGATGTAAAAGCTCGATCGCTGAAAATCCCAACTGATGATGCAACAATATAGGCACGAGGGCAGTGAGCGTAGAGTAAGTACTGGCAAGTGAAGAGCGGGGCTCAGACGGCCCTTTAAATGCTTTCCTGTGTGTGCTATTGCCCTGATAGCATACGCCAGTGGTTATCATTGCCGTATTTAGCTTTACCTAACTTACCCAACAAGCAGTGGGTTATCCAAGAGAGACAGTAGCTGACTCTAGCCGAGCGCTGTTTGCAACTAAATGGTCTGCGATCTTCCGTATCTTCCCTTGACTAGAGTCATTCCATGTATACATCCCCCTTTTTTGGATTAGTGTTGTGATTTGCGTGAGAACAACGGCGCTGGAAATCCAGCCGCTTCAGGAACCATGGGCAGACTACCAAAAACCAAACAGACCTACCACCAGCTGGGTTTCAACACGGTGAGGTACAAGTTGCCCACCTAAGTGAAACGTAAGATACTCCCTCTGGAATCGACGACCCGTGTATGCCTCCAGACCTTGCATTCTACGGTGATGAAATCCAATTGTCTGAGCAATACACGGCCTGGGATACCGCCCTGAAAGGTCCGGTGGTCACATCTGCTTCGATATATTAGTCCACGTTTTGTCTATAGCACGCTTTTCACTTCCTGTTGCGTCTTTGGATTTAGCATACACTTGGACTGATCTTTCCAATCTCAAATTGTGTCTTTCATTCCGACATGCACGGAACTAGCCCACCCCAGTATCAGTGGCTACAGGCTCTACGGACCACGTTAGGGCTTCAGACGTCGCACCCTGTGCAGATCGGTGCCAACAGCCACACCGCGGTGGCAAAGGGACATGGAATCACAGAGCATGGTTATCTCAATTCAGCGGTCGTAGATCAATCCAGTCGAAGCCCCAACCCATTGGCGGTAAACAGCGATGGAGATTGTGGCCAAGGGCAGGCCTTCGCTCTTCTAAACGAGCACAGTTCTACGGATCCCCGAATCTGCTTCAAAGAACTACATAACATGACCTGACGCCATATCCAAGCTGTCTGAACGGGTGGAGTAAGTGTACGACCCCGTTCTATCTACAAGGCTGACGCAGATCAGCGCTTCAGAGTCCAGCATGCGGGAACAGAAGCAGTGGAATCAGGATTTGGGGAGACCGTGGACCCGACTCAAATGGTCCTCGGTTCCAACGCGCGGCAAGGACACCAGCTCCTGACAGCCGAGGATATCCGTCGCTGGAGAGACGCTTGATGAACTGTAAGTTCTGCTCTCGTCTTAACACCGTGGTTTGGTTGGAACGGCGCATCATGGGCTAGTTCGGGATAACACTGGTAAAGATGAATAGGAGATTTCTCGAGCGAGCGTTGTCACTCAGGAGGATTCTGGAACTAGATGGCCTGATTCGCGACGAGGTAGATATTATTGCAACAAATTTCCGGCCAGGTTCTTGCCAGGTCCAGCATCTGTGCCATTTTTAGCTGTAGAAATAAAATTAGGCACAAAACATGGGAGAAAATACTCGCTTCTGCGACGAACATTCGAGGTGGAGCTGGGGGATGGGGGACGTGCGCCAAGAACCAGCCCGTGCCTGTGGCTGCACCAGGTCGCGGATCAATTTGTACTGTACGATTTTTCCGCGTGGAACACCAACGTGCCCACATCCCGCGCAAGCCAATGGTGTCGGACTGTCGCGTGAACCCACCCTCGCACCGGAAAGTGGATGTCAGGCCAATATTCCGGTGAGATCGACCTTCCGTTTTACGTGCCATAACTAAATCGTTTTGTAACCCAGGTGACCGCTGCCTAACAATAATACAAGATGACCGAGGTGCCACTGGTGTTAAGTATCTCGTGTCTCACAGCACGGAAGCAACTTCTGAACGGCCCTGGCTGGGTTTTCCACCATGCTAGGGCAAAATGCAACAGTCATACTTCTCTTTATGCCAGAAGTGTAACCTGACCATTCTACGCTCTTATCTGGACCGCGTTATAGCTTGCCATCAAGACCGACAGGCAGATGTCAATGATTCCAGACAGTCCGACCAGGAGCAGCCGCGGGAGCGAGCCACACGTATTTTCGGCCGAACTGGCAGATCCCCGATAGCTTTCAATGCGAGACGAAGGGCGTCCAGGTGTCAACACCACTGGACTCAACTAATCTGCCATCAAATCCGGTCAACTTTCGGTCTCCTGATTCAAACAATTGAAGGCACTAGACTTATCACGATGAGGATTGTTTCCAATTGATGATGCTCTTTCGGTGTCGTCCGGACAATCCTACCCCAAAGACGGGGCTGTGTAGTAGACAACGATGGCGTTAGCCGCTGTGATACCTCGATTGAAGGAGCTCTCCTGCGGCAACCGAATGGGGTTTAAGTCATCAGGTCCACTTTTCTAAAGTTTGCTCTAATGCAACTGATATAGGGCCAGAACACACGATGGCTTTCGCTCGATCGCAATCACAAGGCGTCGTGTTGGCCTTCCGTGCCATTTCAGTGCAAAAATTGCCAATTCCAAATCATCGTGCCATAGTTCCGTAGCGCGAATGGAGGCATCTTTTTGGGGCGGCAAGGCTTTGTCTTGTTTTGGGATATTGTTCCACTATCGCCCAAGCCCTATACTACGCGTTGCTCCAGCTCCTTGTTCTGCAGTCTTTGCCTTTGCGAATGGCCAGCTCTTGACTCAACGTTCCTGTGAAAACTACTCGGCGTTGTCTCCTGCAACCTCTTCTATCATTAATAAGCCTTGACAAGGAAACACGTCTGGATCTCTGAGGCTAGGAAATGCTTACCAATAATTGGGTACCGATGTCCCGGGATGACCTATCAACCTTGGTTATCTGAACCAATCACATTGTACAAAGAGTTGTGACCGGGAAAGCCCTACCTCTAGTGCCGTTCTCGGAAATTGGCATGACTATTAATTGAACTCGCCATCCCGAGTCCCAGATCTGGTGTCTTTTGGGGGAGGCGAAGTCTGCCTCGTGCCAAGCTTATTCAGTAACAAACAAGATCTGCAAAATACCGAATGCAAACCTATGTTTATATGAGAGAGAATGTTCATGTTGGCTACTGCAGGGCAACCTGGTCTGTTGATCCAAGGGTAAAGGGATAGCTGTGTGGACCACCTTCCGCCCTTTTCCGCACTGGATCACTGGTGGCTTTGGCATCTGGGCAAATCAGCTGCGCATTTGATCAATTTGACTTTGATGTTTCGGTGAAGTGGGTTTCCATTATTTCCGCAATCATAAGACACAAGCTTATGTCACCGACATGTGTTGTGTCCTCTTTCTCCTGTATCTCCCAGTCTTTGAGCCTACCGAAGCACACCGTGGGTTTAGGTATTCTGCTGAAGGTGATCGGCACATACTGGCCTGATGTAGGGGCTAGGTCTTGTTGCCGCTGCCTCACGAGGCCCCAGTACGTGCGAAATGGCCACAGAACCATGGCGACGACGTCGTAGGCAATCCATAATTGCGAGACTAACTTCAAGCCTAAATTCAACCTTGGCGCCACAGGAAGGGTGCATAGTAAGTGTTTCATTTGTCTCTCCCAATACCTATCCAGTCCCAGAACTGCATATACATGGTCATTGTTAGATATGTTCTGTTGAATCAGTAATACTAGTAGGCTTGGTCACGTACTGTTGCAAAACTCACGGAAGAAAATTGGCGGCTGAAGAAAACCGCAGGTGGTGGCGACCAACAGCATCTGATACGATTTGAGACCGTTTTATTGTGGGACAAATGGAAATGTGAATCACACATACAACGCGAATACCTATGATGGGACTGATGCTGCCCTGTGGGCCGATACTACCATATCATGGCAGTTCGAAGCAGTAACGGTAAAATGAGCTCACATGCGAGACGGACGGCGGTCCCGCTGCAGGCCGGCGAGTCCGTCTTGTCCGTAAAAGATGCAAACCTGAAACCTCGAGCAGGTCCAAAGGCTGACTAGCCCAGTGTCAATTTCAGCTAATGTCAATTTCTCTCCCACGAAATAGGTCCGGTGACATCGAGCCACAGTGCTGGCCCACTCCGGACTGCTCCCGACGTTGTCTACCATCGCCTTGCTGCAGTTCTACAATATTCTTTTTCCCCGAGAACCACATCACACATCCGCTACTTGAAGCTACCGCTGTATCCACATCCTATCCCTCCTACACCCCGCTCTGCATAAGTGGGCCTGCTGAATGGGCGCCTGGACGGTCGTTGTTGCGACTGACATGGCATGTCTCATCGCCATCAAAACATGCGTCAACTGCTTCTCTAATGCCTCGAGCTTTCGCCGCCTGCTGTTGTCCTTCTCGGTGTCTTACGGGTCCTGTGATATTAGGAACTGTGATTGGCGCCATCATACCCGGCGGTTCTACGTAGTGGACCATGGGCAGCTATCCGCCTTGCAGGATTTCCCTCTTCTACACACGATATCCGAGATGGCTAGCGCACACGCCACAATATATCCATTTATTATACTTAAATATGGAGCTCGGGAGCTTACCAGCGAAAATCAGTATATACATTGTTTAGTTCAGTTTCGAAGACTACTTTCCATTGACCGCGCAGGTGTGGCTTCTGAAGCATGGTTACAATGCTGACCGATCGGATCAGATTTAACTACCACAACCTGTATGTCTGTATCCGAGTGAATTGAACAGTTCTTGGGAAGGTTAGGCCTGATTTAACATAGCCTTTATTTGCAGATATCACAGAGCTATCCTCAATTGCTAGCGCACTCATCAGCCTATGCTTCGTGGAACACCAATGTGTCCGCGTTCCTCGCAGGCTAATAGCATCGAACAATTGCGTAGATAGCTCCTACCCATCGACAAATGGATAAAGGCCTTTCTTTCGGTGGAGCTAGCTCTCCGCTTTACTTACTATAGTAGAGCTCGTATCACGATTGAGGCGGCGGCTGACCCCCAGCGAACACAGACGGTCAAGGCGTCAGAGACGCTAAATTTTTACGTCTCACAGGAGGGACGCAGTCCCTAGGCAGCTCTAGCTTCCCCACAGTTCCAGGCGGGTCAACGGTCACACTTATTTCTGTGACAAATGTAACCTGATCGTTCTACGCTCTTGTCTGGCGGGCATTATAGCGTACTACCAAGATCGACAAGCCGATGTCCCTTTTTATTTCAGCAAAGGTCAGCCCTCAGCGGTCGTGGGAGCGGACCACAGCCTCTCCAGCCGGAATACCATATCAAGGGTAGCTTTCAGGTGACAGGGTTACGGAACCTGACTGGCTCCGCCGTCAAGGTAAGCCAAAGTCCTGCCTCTAGCGAGGAAGCTATTGAGGCACCAGATGGCGAGCATTTAATGGAGACGATCATTGGCTGTCTTTGATCACATGCCGACGTTCCTTTCACAAAGAAGAGTAACGTAGATCGCGATGGCAAAGCAGCCTGTGACACGATTCAAGGACTGCTCCAGCGACAATAAATGGAGATCTAGACCACCGGGTTCATTTGTTAAAGTTTGGTCTACTGTGACGGGTATAAGTCTAGGACGCACGATAGCTTTCGCTCGATTGCGATCGCATGGAAACGCGTTGGGGTTCGGTGCGGTCCCAGTGCTATGGTAGCCAATTCCAAATCATCGCGCCGTAGTCCCAACAAGCGTGTCCTTTTGGGGCGGCAAGGCTCCGGCGGCATTCGAAAGATCACTCCGCGATCACCCGAGTACTCATGTTCTGGGTCGCTCCTGTTGCTTGTTCTCTAGTCTTTGCCCTCGCGAACGGGCAGTTCTTGCGCCAAGCTTCCCTGTAGTACTAAAACTTCGTTGTGGTCTTCTACTTACTCTTCTATACTCAATAAGCCCTGACAGGAAACGTGTCTGGGTCTCTAAAGGCTAGGAAATGCTTATCGATAATTGGTTACCAATCTCCCGGGACGATCTATCAAACCTTGATTATCTGGATCAAATCACATTGAGGGAGGGGTGTGTGCCCAGAAGATCCTGGCCCCCATGCGGTTCCGGTGATTTACTGTGACTATCGATGGGACTGGCTATTCCGGGGTCTCAAGAATGGGGGATGCTTTCTCCGAGAGCCCTACCTTGAGGGCGAATGACTGATGGCTTTCGGAGCCCACTTGGTTCAAGCTGGAACCTATTCCCCCTTAGTTCCCTTAAAGGCATTCCAACTAGGCGAGAGTATCTTGGAGTGGGAATTGCTGTGGATGGCTCAGATTAGTGGATGCTGGAGATTAACAAGTCCTATAGCTGCTGTTCGGCATGTCTCAGTTGGGCCATCGAAGACGCCCGATAGAACCTTGTTGCCTAATTCGGCTGCTTATAAATGGCGATCTCTTTTCTTGCGGTGGGTCCACTCACACGTCGCTCTAACTATCGCCGAGTATACCGAAACAGACCCAGCCAATTTCAATCCGGAACCCTACGAACCTTTGTCCGTGACTAGTACGTCGCTACATCGCAGGGGTCCCTGGGTGCCAGTAGACCACAGTCCCACCAGTCGCGATCGGGAAGAATTCCGCTACTGGTTCAAGATGAGCAAGCGAGAATGTAGTGCCAGTGCTCAAGTTGGAATGAAAGCACTCCGATTCATGCCTACCCTCTATAAGGACCCAAAATTGCTGTTGTGGTCCATCCCTATAACAATGTGCGCTCGTTCACCACGTCATTGTTTGGTGACTGACATCTGAATCATCAATTTGCCCCCAGGGAGGGTTTTTTCGTTTAATTCTATGGAGAATGTTCAACCCATATGCAGCGATTTATCCCTCCATATCCGGTGAAACTGGGACAGAAATATCTACCTTTCTCCCAATGCTTTGCGCCTGCGCGTCAGCTGGTAGACCAGGCGTACCAACTCGGTACATGCTGATCTCTGTAGGTAGTTGACGGTACCCATGCCTGCGCGAACTCGTTCATCCCGATGGATAAGACCGAGACGGACCAGACAAAACCAGAGCCTTGGTGTCAGGACAACAGAGTCCGACGGTCGAATCGCGACGTAGCTATGACGAGGAACGGCCAAGTCGAGCACGCAACGTTGAAGCTCAATCTAGACCTGCCATGTCCACTCAGCGAATTGGCCAACGGCACGCCGCACATCCCGGTTAGAGACATGTGCGCCTGGGTCGACCGCCCGGTCGAGACACGCCACCAGGAGGCTCTACAACGGCGTGGCAGGGTTCCACGTCCGATGAATTCATTCATGCTGTACCGGCTGGCGTACAGTGATCGAGCGAAGTACTGGCTCGCCCACGATGATCATCAGGCCATCTCCATCCTCACCGGACGGAGCTGGAAGATGGAACCCCCCCACATCCGTAAGCAGTACAAGACGCTCGCGGTGATGGAGAAACAAGAGCATGCTGGAGCGCACCCGGAATATCGGTTCTCGCCGTCAAACAAGAAGAAACGATCGCGGACTGCAAGACCCAGTTCTCAGGAATTGGTGTTGCGTTCGGAGGCGTTCCCCAAAGTCAGCCGAAGTTCTCAGCCTCATGCTTGGTCTAATTTGTTGAACAATGACCGCGTCAGTGGACCCTCCACAGAACCATTCCTTGCAGAAGAGGAAACTCTCCTCAAAAGCATTCCATCGAATCCAGATAGTTTTGGACTATTGCAAAGTGCCTCCTCAGTGTGGTGGCAGGGGGACAACATACTCTCAGATGGCCTCTGCTGAGCAAGACTCCACGGGCACTCAGCCTTGCTTTCCTGTTGTCATGGGCCAGCCGGGGATACCGGACTCTGCTCGCTTCGTTCCCCAATCTGGATCCCCTGGACTCGAAGCTGTCAACTGTCAATCTGCTTTACTGCCACTGTCTGTTTTAAATGAGACTTGTAAGGTTGACGAAGAATTGCTTATGGAAGGGACGCAGCGGGTTGCGACTGTAGGCCAGTAAGTAACACATCTGGTTCTTGCGGCATATTTATCACAGATTTTGGCAATTCGTGTCGATCGCTTTGAATGCGAGGGTCCCATGTATATTATTTATTTTTGGTTATCTCGAATAGTGCGTGTATAGGCCAGTGTTTGCATATTGGGCAATGACTTCCTCGGTAGGAGGAGGAAAGGAGACCATGTCCGTGCCTAAGATGATAGCGCCTCACTTTTCTGCAGATGACCGGTTCAGAGCGACCATTCGGGAAGGCGTAGCCCAGGGGTCGTAAGAGCAACAGATCCCCGCACAACAGCCCAAGTTCCCGGAAAACGTTTATGTGCCCCTGGGAGCCAACATGGTACTCTTGGGAGCAACGCCGCTCCCCTGATGCCCGCCGTTCGTCACAGAAACAGCAAATTTACTTCCTGCCTTTTGACCATATGAAAATTATCTTGGATGCTAC